GCCCTCACGGCGTAGAGAGGCGGGGGGGGGTAAGGGTTCCGCTGACGGCGGCCGGGGCGGGCACGACGAAGCGGAGCTCACGGCGTCCCGCACGGAGGAAAGAGGCTAAGGGGCGAGCGACCACAAACCCTAGCTGCGCGGCTGTCGGGGGAACGGAACGAGGAGAGAGTGCGAATGCAGCCAGGGCCGGTGGGCTTGTAGGTCACGCCAAATGGCTGAGCTGTTCAGCCCAGCCAGCCGATTTACACCAGCCGGACAGAACCTCAGTAGCTAGTGTTGCCTTTTGCCGAGAGCTAACAAAATGCGCTTTGTAGTGGTAAGTAACACCTAATACGCTCCGAATTCAGGGCCGACGGCTTTTGTTCCTGCTTTCGTGGAACGACCAAATCTGCCGTGACTAGAGAGATTCTGCCGATTCCATGACTTTCCCTCGATGAATTGTCGTTCCTTAATTCACATTATTTTCTTGACCCAGCAATAGAGAGGAGAGGAGGGCACCAAAAATTGCTAATTTCTCGGCCTTCGTTTTGGACACTAAAGTTTGCTAATTTCCGGGATTTTTTTCGCTGGAACTAGAAAAACCTGCCTGATTGCAAACAGGGAAGAATGAAAAAAAAAAGTGGATCCCGGTAACCCTAACCCTGCCTACGGCCATCGCCGGAGTTGCGCCGCCGCGTCTGCAGCGCTAGCACCGCCTAGCTAGGTCGTGGCGTCGGATGCTTCACCGTACACTTGAACGCTATGAGAGTCTTGCAAGTTGCAACTCGCGCGACGGGGCAGCAGGCAGGGCAGATATCGGTAGCAAAGGGAAGGGAAGCGAAGTCAGCAGACGGTACAGAGTCCGATACCCCGACGCCAAACGAGGAAGGGAAGGTGGCGTCTGAACGTGCGGAAGGCCGGGATCGCTTCCGGCTCCAGCCATCAGCCAAGAACCCAAAAGAGGATCCGGAAAACGACATGGGATGGGATGTCCTGTGGTGAGGGCGGCGTCGACCAGTGCGCACTGCGCTACGCCTACGCTCGTCCATTGGCAGCCGCCTATAAATTCCACCGCCGGCCGGATCCCATTCGTCCTGTCCCGTGCCCTCGCCGTTCAGCGATCACTAGCTGTCCAGCTCACCACTCCTCTCCTCTCCTCTCGTCAGGGACTCAGGGTACGTGCACACACGCGACCGGCGACCGCGGTCTCTTATCCAGGATTGCATTGCATGCACCTCCTGTGCCTGAATCTCGTCGCGGTTTGCGTTTTCCCCGGCCTCCGCCACCGCCACCGCCGCCGCGTGCGTTGCTGCTGTTTCCCAGAGTTCCCAGATTGGCTTGTCCTTTTGCTGGGAGTTACTGACGGCTACTGCCTAGTGCCTACTGCAGAGTTGCTTTGTTGTGTTTCCTTTGTTTCCTCTCCGAGTGGATTCAGTCAGAGTTTCCTCTGATTGCTGCTGTTCGGACCCAGCTCCCCTCCTTCCTGTAGGCAATGCCAAATCCAAAGCCTGGTTTTGAAGCAGTTCGTTCGCTCTTGCAATATGGCCAAACTGTTACATTTGCTTGGCATTTTATCTTATTTATTCATTGCAAGCAGCATAAACATTTTGTCCCTTTCTTTTCTTAATTGCTATTTCTGACGACGCAGCAGACTTCCAGTTGCCACGAAATTCAGAGCTGCAGCTGATTGAAGGCAGTCGTTGCAGTACTACCGAGCCGGACCGAGCCAGCACTCTCCATGGCTGATGCAAAGGATGCTGCGGTGCCGGCGGAGGCGCACCCTCTCGGACGGTGGCCGGTCCTGTCCTACGGCGTCGGCCACATGCTGAACGACATCACGTCGGCCTGCTGGTTCACGTACCTGCTCCTCTTCTTGCAGCAGATCGGCCTTGCTCCCAGGTACCCACTGCACACTCTCTGCCGTTTGCCAATAACACAATCGCGCACTTGCGCTAGTGGCCTCACCAATGGCTTGCAGGGATGCCGCTGTTGTGATGCTCTCGGGTCAGGTCGCAGATGGGCTGATGACGATCCTCGCAGGCGAGATGGTCTGTATAAAGTAAACTGCACCGAAACTCGCAGACAGATTATGATTCACCGGTAACTGACTGTGAACGATGTGTCTGTCACATGATCAGATTGACAGATTTGGCCGTTTCAAGCTATGGCACATTGGAGGATCAGTCCTCGTCGGCTTCTCCTTCTCTTCAGTCTTTGGTGGCTGTTTGCTGTGCACCATTCTGGGGACAGATTCATACCTTGTGAGGACCGTGGGCTACAGCTTTTTCGCAGCGGTGTTCAACATTGGTTGGGCGGCCACACAGGTTTCCCACATGTAAGCACAGCTCCTTGAATCTGCACTGAACCTTTCTCCTGTGTCCTGACACATGCTTACAACATTTGAGCTCTGGCTGATGCATTTTCTTAACGTTCAGGTCGATGGTAAACTGCATGATACTGAATCGGACAAGCCGTGTAGCCTTAGCAAGCTGCAGAAATGCATTCACTATGGTGAGTAGTGAGTACCGGCAATCAGCATTCATCTTATCGACGCTTGTAGCTGCCAGTTTTCTTACAAATAGAATTATAAATTATTATATAGGAAACAGGAATCTTCTTACTGTCGTGCCTTTCTATTAAAAATGGTGTACTCGAACTCTTCAAGTGTGTGGGCCCGTTTATCATGTCCATTTGATCAATCTATTCTGTCTTGTTCCCTTTTAAACAAATTTCCACATGGGGGAATATACTCACAAGAATGGCAAAATACAGGTTGCAAATCTTGTTCTGTATGGGATTGCTTTAGCTGTCTTTGGTGCTATTAAGGCAAAAGAATGCTCAGACATTGTTATTCAGGTGACAAGCAAAAAACTTGCTGTTTATAGACCAAAGGTATATAAGCACGTCTCTAGTTACTAATCTGCCCATCATTTCTTCACCCTACAGTACCGATGGATTGCATATATGTCCATCTTCATAGGATGCTGCTTCCTGGTGGTCTTTCATGTTGGAACCAAGGAACCTACGTACATTGATATTATACTATTATCTAGAATGGAATAGTTTGCATGGTGGATATGTATGCTATATAAATTCTGCTTGTTATTGTGTGCTTTTGCAGCTTGAAGTCTGAAACTAACTGTAAGAAGAAGGCTCGGATTTCCTGGGGCTACTGGTTCAAGAAGACCTTGTACTACCAAGTTGCTCTCCTGTATATGCTTGCAAAGCTGATCACAAACGTATCTCAGGTTGGCATATGGAGCCATGTGCAATCAGATTGTTTCTTAATTGGCTTGAAAATGCACATGGCATGCTCTATCATCAGCTTTTTAGACAAGGTTTTTAGACAAGGTTCCATCTTCCATGCGTTTTAATTTGTCTGAACATTACTCCTAAGATCTCCTTTTTTTTATTTCCATCCAATCCTAATTTCAAACTAGAACTTTTTAAAAAAGGGTAAAATCTTTAACCTTGCACTATTAGGTTATAATAAAAACCGAGTACTCAGTTTACATTGTTGAAATAAACCATGTTTAGCACTGTATCCTGTGTCATGAGAATTTTTTGAAAGGGAGCCCTTTTTTTTTCCTGCTCCATGGGTACAAGCCAGAACCCAGAATTACCTCTTGTCATTTATCATCTCTGGCATTTGATCTCTTATATTTGCTCATGTTCTCCTTTCCAGTCGCTCATCGCTTTCTACGTCACCAGAGATTTGAGAATGAACGAATACTCGAAAGCAATAGTGAGTTCTTTCATTCCTTTGCTGCTTGAATTATTCTCTATTTTTTGAGGAAAAATAAAACTTTTGAGTGAGGCACCGACGACAGTTATGAGAATTACTACTTTTGCTCTCCTTTTTTCCTCACCCCTTTGACTCTGTCTGCAGATACCAGCCATCATATTCTGCTGCAGCTTCTTCGTGTCCATCGTCCTGCAGGTCCAAATCCAACACTTGCACAAGCAAGAACAGTTACAAACCTGTTGTACTGCATTGCAAAATTTAGTCTGTCCGATCCTTGCTCACCCATCTCTGGAACTGCCTGCCTGCAACACAGGAGATCAAGTGGAACAACCGGCGCCTCAATTCCCTCCTTACCGTCGGCGCGACACTCTGGGTCATCTCCGGCGTCGCCGTCTTCGTCCTCCCGAGCGAGATGCACAACCTCATGTACCCTCTCGCCATGGTCATAGGCGCCGCCAACGCGCTCGTCACGGTAAAAACATAGGCGCCTAGCACGCCACGCTGCCCGTCCAAGTCTTCCAGTTTCGCGTGCTCTGGCTTACATTACATGAGCAGGTCACGACGGTTGGGCTGGAGAGCGCGTTGGTAGGGGAGGACCTGAACGGCTGCGCCTTCGTCTACGGCTCCCTCAGCTTCCTGGACAGGATCTCCTGCGGAATCGCCCTGTTTGTGCTGGAATCGTACGAAGGTAAGTGACGTCGAGATCGGTAGAAATGCTCGAAATTTTGTTTTGTTTTTCTGCTGGGAAGGCCGGCAGCTTATCGGGCGGGCGCAACACTATGGCTTCTTTTCATGCAGACACGATGAGCTGCGGCGAGACGAGGGGCCTGAACACGGTGAGCAGATACGGGACGGGCCTGATCCCCTCCTGCTTCGCCGTCCTCTCCCTGGTGGTCGCGTCCACTCTGAGGCTGCAGGACGCCGCTCCGAGAGCCGCTGCACTGGAAGCCCCGCTGCTTGTGTGACTGACTGAAGAAACCGGTGGTGATGATATCGATCGGGTTGAAGGAAGAAGAAAACGTGCATCCTCTTAAATTAGGTTTGACGAGGAACATGTCGCTTGCTTTTCAATTAGGTTTGAAAGCAGGCCACTTTGTAATAATATTTGTCATGCCGTCGTGTTGGCATTATGGCATATACCATCACAGATGCATAGTTTTGGTGTGAAAGTATATGAAAATAAGTAGTTGTACGTAACTCAAATTTGTGCGAAGTTTATGTACACGTCATCAGATTATTATACTACAGAGCAGGAACAGCATCGTGAAACAAAAGACTAAAAAGAGTGTACAGATCCGTGTGAAAAAACTAGAGATTTCAACACGCTGAAAACATCCTCGACACTGAATTCATCAGCTTCACAGCTCATCCTCCGACCGGTACTTGTACGCGTCCGCCCTCCGGTGCTTCCCCTTGCCGTCGGCGTCGGCGTCGGCGCTGGGGCCGGCGACCCTCCCTTCACCTCCTCCAGCCTCTCATTGGCTGTGTCCGCCGACTCCCGCGCCTTCTCCTTCACCCTCTCGTACCCTTCGCTGGCCTTCTCCTTGGTCGCCTCCACCGTCTCCCACGCCAAGTCCTTGGCCGACGCCGCCTTCTCCGTGGCCTTCCCCTTGGCGGCCTCCTTCGACTCCTGCGCCTTCTTGCCGGCCGCCTCCGCCTTCTCCCACGCCGCGTCCTTGGCCGCCTCGGCCTTCTCCTTCGCGGCGGCCGTCGTCTCCCACGCGGCGTCCTTGGCCGCCCAGGCCTTCTCCGCCGCCGCGTCCGTGGTCTGCCGCAGCGTCTCCTGCGCCTTGCCGGCCGCGTCCTTGGCGCTCTCGTACCCCTGCCCGGCTTTCTCTCGGGCCTTCTCCTCGACCTTGGCCTTGCCCTGCTTCGACCGCTCGTGCGCCTCGGCGCCGCGCTCGCTCGCCGCCTCGGCGGCCTCCTTGGTCTTCTGCTTGGCGTACTCCGCCTTACTGGACGCCTCGCCGGCCGCGCCCTTCACCGTCTCCTTGGCCTGGTCCTTGGCTTGTCCGGCCTTGTTCGACGCGCCCGCCGCGGCATCCCGCGCCGCCTCTTCGCGTCGTCCGCCTTCTTCCCCACCTCTGCAGCATGGGCGTGGCCGGCGTCAGCGCGAGAGGAGTATTTGCGCGCGGCGCGGGCAAGCTCAGTTTTGGAAAGAAAAAAATGGTGGGTGGCGTGGATTTCTTACCGGAGGCGGTGTGCTGGGCGGACTCGCGCGCGGACTTGACGGTGTGGCCGGCCTTGCGCGCGGCCTCCTCCTCGTCGACGTCGGCGTGGTGCTTGAGCCCCAGCCCCTCGGAGATCTTGTCCTTGGCCCAGCCCGTCCACGCCCCCTCCTCCTTGTTGCTCTCCTCCGCGACGTCGTGGCCGTTCGTCTTGGCCGCCACGCCCACCGCGGCCGCCGAAGCCACCGCCAGGATCAACAGCAGCAGCAGCGCCGCGGGGACGGCGCGACTCCTGGACCGCGAGACTACCGCCATTGGCAATCCTTCTCAGCTTAAGCTTGGCAGCCGCGAAGACTAGCTGACTAGCTGTGTACGTGTGCTTTTGTCAGTGATGCGCGCTGATCGATCGTGCTGAGTTTTTGGGGAGCGCAGTGTTTTATTGGCGCGAGGAGTTTGGACGCGTGTAGGGGGCGGTTCGAGCGAGGCGGTTGGCGCGGCGACGGGTGTCCGGCTGAGGTGGCGCGTTGCTGCACACGTCGTCTCAGTCGGTCACCGTGATCGCTTTGGCCTTGGTGTCACAGGCTTCTGGTCGCTTCGCTTCTCGGTGCTTTCGAAATGGCGCAGAGGGACGTACCTATGCCCGATGGCGTTCGTTGGGCATCCGACGGCGCAGCGGAAATAGGTAGAATTATCTACGTGGCACTGAAACAAATCATTCTTTCGTATTTGTTATTCGAAATTTTGAACTTTCTTATCTAGCACCAAGTTGAAATTTCCTTCCGTAAATAACACTTCTGTCTAATTTCACTGTCCATCAGTTACCTGACTGGTTTGACCTTGTCAGTTTGGTTTCCGTATGTCCAATATACCCCTATGTTACTCACGCGTGCAATTTGGCGGGCCGGGATCCGGTGAGCTTCTTCCCGTCTGGCGCAGGGTTTTCGCGGTGGGGGCGGGTTCATGGCGAAGTCAAGCTCGGCCACCCGCACTATGGCGGAGGCGGTAGCCAACACGCGATGTGGCGGAGGTGGCGCGACAACCTCGCCACCGATGGCGACGGCTCTTGGGGCGAGGGCGCGCGTGTTGTTGATGGCGGCGCGGCAAAAGGTTGTTTGGTTTCAAGCGAGGCTGCGGTCGCGCGACGCGTGCGCCAAGATCTGATGCGCTGCAGAGAGCGAGCTCACGTAACGGCGGTAGGGCGGCCATGTCCGTGCCCTCGTGCAAGCTTTGGCGGGGAGGACGAGCTCCGAACATTACTGCTGTCGTTCTCGCCTCTCTTCTCGATGCTTCGCCATGGACGACGCCTTTGCCGACCGAGGTTTCGAGGCGGCCGCTGCCGTCGGAGCTGTATGGCGGCACGGCGCGGTGTGGACGCCTTGTTGAGGGACGTGACCTATGCCCGATGGCGTTCGTGCGGAGGCGGAGGCTCGGTGGAGGCCGCACAACGGAGCCGGTAGAGTGGGCAGAGGATCCGGCGGCGCAGCGGAAATAAGCGCGTCACGAGGCTCCGCAAAAGAGAACTTGATGGCCGACTCTCAGCCGCACCTGCGACATATGGTCCCTGGGATGAGATGAAGGACAACCTTCGATCGTGCCCACATCTGTGACTCAATCCGCACTGTTGAATGGTTTCTTTGTTATTTGGCAACATGGACTTCTACTACGAACAAGGGCACTTATGTCATTTTGCAAGCCACTTAACATCGTTACCAGTGAAAATAGACGGTAGTGCTATTTACGGAAGAAAATTTCAACTTAGTGCTAAATAAGAAAGTTTAAAATTTTTAGTGCCAAATATGAAAGACTGATTTGTTTCGGTGCCAAATAGATAATTCTCCCGCGAAAATAAGCATGGAAGCCGTCCAATTCTTTCCTCGGACCATATACTCGACACGGCCCACATCTAGGAAAAGCGAAACAGAAGTGGGAAAGGAAAGATACGAAGTGCGGGAGGCCATCGGCTAGCTGCTGCTGCTCCCGGCCCCCGGCGCTGGAGCAGGAACAAGTTCTCTCCTCCGTCCTCCTCATTGTCTGCAAAGGAACGGAGCGTTGCAGGCACTCGTCGCCGTTGCAGTGCCCGTGAAGATGGCCGCCGGCGGCGGCGGCGGCGGCTGCTGCTTGCGGCCTCCCTCAGCACTGGAGCAGGCAAGCAGGTCTCCAAGAAAGTGCTCTCCTCCACCGCCCTCCGGCGGCATCTGCTGCTTGTGGCCTCCCTCAGCACTGGAGCAGGCAAGCAGGTCTCCAAGAAAGTGCTCTCCTCCACCGCCCTCATCCTCAGCCTACGACAGCACCTTGAGAAGCCGAACTCCAAAGTTCAGACTAGAGTAGATAAGTAGTGTTGAATTGTCACTGTGTATTTGATGTGAGTTGAGATTGTGGCTCAACTTCGTTTGTGATGATTGGATAATTCTTGCCAATTTGAGAGTATAATTATTGTGAATTTGATACTTCAGTGTTGTTATGATAATAACTGTTTCTGAATGGCAGAATATGTACCAATGGTACTAGAATGATCATTTGCAACATAGCAAAAGAAAGCTAAATTATATGTACAAAACTAGAGTTTTTTTGCTTCCAAGATACTTGCAAAATGGCAATAAAAAAAACCGAATTTGTCCACCTGGGAGCATATCACCTAGCACCAGATCACTGATTTGTGGCAAAAGAAACCTGAACATGTATATCCACCTGGGAGCATATCACTTATATGTTGCATACAGTTCATACTTCCAAAATACTAATAGCTCTTCATAACAACATCACCATAATCTAGTCAGAGGTTCATTGGTGCACAAGAGGAATTGTGTTTATTATTTCCTGAACCCTCTAATTCAAGTGGTGCACAAGCACAAGTTAGCTTCACTCAGGTGTTGATGGTAATCTGCTCATATAGCTACTCTACAAATCTTGAGATGATGTCTTTTAAAAAACTTACTTTTTATTTAACATGCAGGGACCAATGACAGATGACCTTATGACTGGATTCTAGTGATGTTGTTATGAAGAACTTTAGTGTTTTGGAAGTATGGAGGATTATATGCCACACATAAGTGATCTGCTCCCAAGTGGATATATAAGTTCAGCTTTCTTTTGCCATAAATCAGTTATCTAGTACTAGAAGGACAAACTCAGCTTTCTGTTCTCATTTTGCAAGCAAATCTTTTGTATATATAAGTGCTTGCAGTAAATCTGAATCTGGATTATATAAGTGCTTGCAGTAAATCTTTTGTAGTACCTGAAAATTCTAAATAATGTATTCTCTTATAGCTAAATCTGGGCACACACTGATCGGACATATTTTCAGTGCCAAGTCTGAATCTCTCTTTTCCCCTTCAAAGTTCTCAAATCAACACATTCATCACAACAGCAGTGAAGTCTCAATTACACATAATAATAATCAAACTCTCCAATTGACAACCATTCAATCACAAAGAAAACTGAGCCACAATCTCAACTCATATCAATTACACAATGATAATTCAACGCTACTGCTTGTCTACTGATAGTCTGAACTTTAGAGTTTGGCTTCTCAAGGGCGACGTCGAGCAGCGTCCTGCAGGGCTGTGAGCTAGCATCCATCATCTTCCCACGGTTCGTCGAAACATCCTCCCATGGCCCGTCGAAGCTGGAACCATGAATCCGCCGTCGTCGACGCAGAGCTGAACGGGGCAGCTGCGTTGCATGCTGGGGACAGCGCGAGGGCGACAGATAGGAAAGCGGAGGATGAGGGTTGGGAGGAGAGTGCTTCTCCATGGATCTGCATGTCTGCTCCAATGACGGGGGTGGGGGCAGAAGAAATCGGCCGGCGGCGGCCATCTCCACGAGCGCCGCGACGGCGAGTCGCTGGAGCGCTTTTTTTTTTCCTTCTTTTCTTTTGTGTTTTGCGGTTCTAAAACATGGGTCAAATCACGTATATGGGCCGGGACTGCGTACTCTTATGTGCTTATTTGCTGCCTACAATCGGATTATAAACGAACGGCATCAGGTGTAGCGACGTCCCTCTGTCGTATAGTCTTCGATGGTAGAGGATCCCGTTCCCAACAGAACACACGTACGAGAACGAGTCACTCGGGTCGCCGATGTGGCAGCACATGGGACGATTGGCGGAGAGCCGGAGCCAAGGAGACGCATATCATACGGGTACGAAAAAGTTTACTCACTAGTACCATTACGAATAAAATGGCAAATTTTGCTTGAGGACACCGTAAAAACATCTAATGGTTGTTTGCTGTAACAACTGTGTCTATTATTTTATTTATTTTTTAGGCTTTAAGAGAGAGTGGTAGAGGAAATGACTTATTTGCCCTCGTCTTCAACCTTTAGCTTCTCACTGAAATTTGTTGTAACACACCGCTGCGCAAAAGTGCCTTGCTAGGATTTTATTGAAAATATAAAGATTCCTAGGGGTTATTGGGATGACTTGATAGACTCAGCAAAAAAAAAGATAGAAAGAGAAGAGGGGCTTTCTGCAAATGCACTTTCTTCCTCGTTGGAACCGTCAACCATGGCCGCCCTCATCGTCCTCTTCGTTGTGCACTACCCGTCGTTGCTCTCCCACTCCTTCAGCCTCTCCGCGGCGCCCGCCTCCAACTCTGGCTCCTCCTCAGGCGCCCGCCTCCTCTCCATGGCGACGGCATGCTCGGCCTCGACAACTTCAATGCCTACTACGATCCGACCCTAAAGCACGTGCGCCGCGCACGTGGGTGGCTGTGATGCCCCTAGCCACGCCGGTCAGGTGAAAGGTCCTAATAGCTAGAGGGGGTGAATAGCCTATAAAAAATTCTACAACAATACTTAAGCAATGTGGTTAGTCAAATAAACAACAAAGCGAGTGTAGCGCTAGCTTACTAAAAATGCAAGCCACCTACCACAATTCTAGTTGCTATAGTCTCTATCCATATAATGCCTATGTCACTACACTAAGTTAGTAAACTCTCAAAAACTAACTAAAGATCCTCACTAACCACTAGTCCCGACGCAAGTTAGCTCTCAAAACTAATTACACTAAATAGTTTAGATTACACACTAGGAATGTAATACAAGAAATGATGGCGATGATTATACCAACGTGTCGAGGTATGAGCCAATCATAAGATGGAGCCAATCAATCAATCACAAGATAACCAATGAAATCCCCGGACAAGGTGACACAAGATTTTTTACCGAGGTTCACTTGTTTGCCGGCAAGCTAGTCCTCGTTGTGGCGATTCACTCACTTGGAGGTTCACGCGCTAATTGGTATCACACGTCAAACCCTCAATAGGGTGCTGTGACAAAACCGCCTAATCTAATGCTTCTCAGGAGTATTTGTCTTT